TAGTGGGGTAAAATTTACATACAATCAAACATCCATTTCTAATGAAGAGGTTGAGTATTTATAGATTGTCTTTTGTATTTGTTATTGTAAAACAAATACAAAAAAAAATCTCTTAGTACATAGTGAAGATGCCATGCAATAAGCCCTCCCACATCCATCACCTGAATGGAACAATTACCAAGGTTTTGCCACATTTACTTTATTAATCTCTTCTCATTCATTTCTTGCTAAAATTTTTTTAAAGCAAATCTAGACACTAGGTTTAAAAAAAAAGTATCTTACTACTTTTCACACTTTTCAGGTCTATTTCTCTCATACCTAAGATTGCATTTTGATGCAGACAAGCATAACCTTCCCTTAGGGAAGTTCAAACTTACAGGGGACACTTTGTTTTTGGATGTGAATTTTACTGAGAGAATTCTCCATCCTGGTGCTCCCCCCACCCCCAAGTGACTTTAAGTGACTTTAAGTCCTGAATTTGTTGGCTTTCCTTGGACTGCTGAATCCTGGGAGATGTTGACAAACTTTCCCTCCACCACTTTCAATGGAAGCTGGATGCATGCTGTCATTGTATTCTGTGAAAAGGGATATTCAGGTTCCTTCCATTGTCAGAGTCAACCCCACACTGCCCTCCATACACACATGCCAGATCATTCATACAGAATGTGTGGCAAGATCATATGTCCTTTGAAAATACCTATAAGTATGAATATGGGTGTATGCTTATTCATGGGGACTGTTCAGTAATTTTCAAATTGTTTATTCATATAGTGGCTAGCTGTTAGAGGATTTTTCATATTGTTTGAAAGTGCTTGTGGCAGAATTTAGGGAGAGGCAATCCTCTCCCTAATCCCACCACCAGATCACATGACTCTACACATATTTTACAAACATTTGTTCATTGATTGTCTGATTTTTCTAATCCTTGAACAATACAATGTTACCATTCTTAGCTTTTCCTTCACCCTCAATGGAACCTTCAGCAAATGAAGAGCTATGTGGTAGTTGTAGGTAATCTACCATGTACTGCTACCATGCACTACCATGTTCATAGTTGCACCTGCTCCCTGTGATTTTGGGTAAATAACTTAATGTTTCTAAGCTTCAGTTTCTATTATTTTTTTGTAAGATGGGAATAATAAAATTAAAATAATAATGTCTCTTCCCACGGTGACTATAAAAATGAAATAATGGTTGTAAAAAGCATTAACATTCTGACATATACACATTTATACTGTTATTTTTGGCCCAGTCCGGTAAAAAGCACTGTTTAGTTTTAAGGCATCCCATAAGTTTCATGCGTACTTGGGATCATTCCTTCCCTGAGCAATCTCTAGAACAAGCACATTTGGTTTAGTCCTTAATAAGGATAAGATACAATGGGTGCAATGTGTACAAATTGCCCGCTTCTTCAGGCTGGGGTGCCAGCTCTCCCGGATGTTTCTGGACTGTGGCTGGGGCTCCAACGCAAAGGGAGAATTCTAGAGAAGGAAAGAGAGACGTTTCTTTAGGTGGGGTCATTGCGGCTCCTGAATATATCTGACTCTTTCGCAGCACCCGGGCGGAGCAGGCACCCTCGCAGCGCGGCGCGGTTAGTGGTGTTTTGTAGGCTTGCTCTGGGCACCCTGGCTATGGCACAGGTGTGTGTGTGTGTGTGTGTGTGTAGTTGAGCATTATTTGGGGGGACTAATCAAGGAGGGACCAAGGCAGCAAGGTAGAGGGTCAGTCTCTTCTCGTGATCCAAAGCAGGGTCTGCTTTGCGGAAAAACCCGCGTTTTGCGTGGGCAGCTTGGGTTTGTGGGCGTTGGGCTCACTTACCCCGGGTCAAAACACCGATGTCTGGTCTGCATTGGATGAATTAGTTCTGAACCTAGAACCCAGAAGGCGTGAAAGTGTGACGGAAAGACACTGCCCGCGCTGCTGCAGGAGAGGCGAGCGCGCCTCTGCGGTTCTTCGCCAATGTGGCCGCGGGCAAGGCTACCCTTAGTATTTGTTTCAGAATGTGATTTTCTTCTTTCTGCCCTATTTCCTGTATGCTCTGGACCATTCGAAGGCAGGCTGCCGGGCAGAAGAACCCTCGCTGTCTGCATGCACCACCGAATCCTGGAGCCCTGGACAGCCGACAGTCGTGTGGGTCCCTAGTCCTCATTAGGCCAGGTTACAGGGGTCCACAAGGCACCCCAACTACACTTTTGAGGCTCCCAGCTCTGGCTATTTGTGAAGTATGGGATATTAAGGTTGTAAATAGATTTCGCCCATTTATTTATTTTTGTTTTGTTTTTCCTGTTTTTTCTCTTCCTTTTCCTTCTCTGATATTCTCTGCATTTACTAGTTATCTGACTTTGAACACGTTACTTTATCTTCCTGCACCTCGGTTTTGTCTTTTTTAATAATTGGGATCATAATTATAGTAACAGCGTTATTGGAAGGATTAAACGAATTAGTAAAAGCCAAATGCTTAGACCAGCGTGCGGTATGTGGGAAGCGCTCAATAGACATCGGTGTTGAAATCCATGGTGCAGATTCTTCTGAACTTGAAGTGGTAAGGGCTCCGCTTTCTCCGGGGTGATTTCACTTTGTGGCCCACCATGCTAAGGGTACCTTGGCCCCTGCGCCTGTCCCAACCCCAATGAAACTCCTGGGCTTAGTTTTTAGGATTTGATTTAAAGACTTAGGAGGGAGAAAGTACGAAAAGGCCCTGGCAGGAGCCTGAGGCAGAAAGCTTAAGCCCAGAGTAGCAGTGGCACGAAGCAGGTGCGCGTGGCCAGGCCAGGACTTTCTGGGCGCAGCTGGGGCTCCTGCTTATTGGGGCTGGTCCAGTTTTTTGAGAAGGGACTTGGCGTCGGGAGTCGGACTTGGTTTCGCGCTGCTGCTTCTTGCCTTGGAGGTAGCACTCCACCTGCTCAATGTTCGTGTTACTTGGGGTCTGGGAAGTGCGCAGCGCTTTGAGCAGCGGAGAGCAGGGGAGACTCCAAAATGGGAGGGTATCCTTCCAGGGTACGAATGGATCAGACAGGGAAGACATCGAGGGCGACAACTGTAGAAGTCAGGGGTGAAAGCACCCACAATATTTCCGTTTTGAAGTGTCCTCTCTCCCAAACATGACACTGGCCATCAGTTTGGTCCCCCGGCGAGGACCTGTCTCCAAACACTGCTTGGCAAAGTCAATCAACAGCCACTCTTAGGCTGTCGACCCCTGCGGTGAGATCAGCTCGGGCCTCTCTGGGACTTGGGAGGGGGCGCGGGGCCCAATGGCAGGGCTGCAGGCCTCTGGAAGGAGAAAGTGGCTCTGGCGGCGGCGGCACCGCGGCCGCAGGATGCGAGGCGCGAAACCTCAGGCAGCGCGGACGGCCCCTGGCACTGCGGGCTGGGCCGGCATTCAGGAGGAGGTCCGGACGCCGCTGCTCAGAGGAGCCAGGAGTGGGAGAGTGACAGGGGAAGTGACCTCTTGAACCTCATCAAATTCAAATACTATAAGAAGTTTTTTAAGGAAAGAAAAGCGGAAGGATAGGGAAATGGAGTTCACCTGAGGCTTGAATGGTCTTTTTTTAAGAGTTCCAGGCCCCTGGGGTTTGCAGATTTCTCTGCGGTAGACCGACTCTTGGTAATGAACTTTGGATTTTCCCTTAGGAGGGTGAAGCTACCAGCTGACTTCCTCCAATAGGAATATTTTACATATATAAACACCTTTGCAGTTTAATAGCCCTTTAAATAAATTATTCATATTAACTCTTGGTCAAACCAACCTGGCACAAAATAGCTTTTCTTTATCTCAGCTCTTTCTTTTTCTCCCTTCTTTTAATTACTGGCTTTTGCTGTTTAGGTTTCATCTTCAGGCAGGTAGTCAGGGTTTTTATGTGTCTAACTTTACCCTCTGCCCTAATGTAATTCCCTACATGACTTTCCCTATGAACATGGACAAAAGATAGACTCAGGATTTTATTTTCTTATTTGGATGGATAATGTACTTTTGAAAAAGCAAATGTCATTTCATTTGGCTTTTGTGGTTATTATCTAGCAAATGAGAGTGATTATGGAGTATCTGACTGCAGCAATTCTAATGAAAGTCACAGCTGCAAGTAGGACTTGACTAAAAAGACTTTGGCCCTCTGGATCAGCCAGACATTCACCTATTTTACTCTTCAAGTCTCTGGAGCTAAACTATGTCAAGAATCTGAGAAATTGGGAGTTGTTTCCATATGTCATCTTTTCATTCAGCAAAGTGGTGGTATTGGGGGGAATGCGGTTTAAACATTTTTTTCCTCCCATGAAAAGAAATGTTCTTTGGTGACATGAAAATATAGACTAAACCTCCAGAACCTGTGTCTTGGAGCAAAATGAGTGTGGAAAGCTAAGTAGGCCAATTGGGCAGACAGAATTTAGGGATGGAAGTTGAAGAAGACAGGGGCTGTGTAGATTCTTTGAACAATGATGCTCACCTGAATAAAAGGACAGTGCCTTTGGGGACTCTGCATTGTGTCAGAGAGAGCAAAGTCAAGTGGTGGGGAGTGACAGAATGGGTTTCCATAGAATTTTTCATATGAAAAACAGATTTAAGTGTCCCTTGCCCATCTCTGGTAAGATGCTTTGTGTAGGTGAGAGGATACATGCTGGTGTCTGGCTGAAGATATCTGTTCTACTGAACCCAGATAAAACAGAATTTAATAGACTCCATTTGTAATTTCTTACCTATGGAAAACTTTTTTTTTTTAATTGGAGGGCTCTCAGAAAAGATCTGAGACCTAAAACCTTTCCATTTGTAAATCAGTTTCAAAAAATGCAGTTGAGTTGTGCATTTTATGGCCATAAGGATTTAATAAAATGGAATAGAATTTAGGTGCATGTTGTAGGTAAGCATGACTGAAGAACAAGTTTAGTCATTTTGTTTTGTGTTTATTTTTGGACATCAGAATGTATAAGTTCTTAGTAATGTGAAAGGGATCAGAAATTTGGGGTGTCTTAAATTCATTCTAATGTATTTCTTATCCTTTTCTAACTAGGGAACTATTTCAAGGCCAATATTTGACTGATGTCTGGACTTTGGATGTTCCTGCAAATGAAGATTGGAGTTGGCAGTGTAGGTAATACCACCTAAAAATATTATTTTTCCTGACCTATGCATTTATACTCTTTACGTTTTTATATTCACTTTTCTGATATAATCACATAATGCAATTTACTTTCATATCTTGAATTAAAAAGTGGAATTTTAGGTGTCTTAAGTGATGCAGAAAAGCTCATTTGCATCATTAAAGTTACCTCTACGTCTTCCATTTAACCTATGTTTTTGCAGAATGCCCTGGGTTCCTTCCACAGTGCTATGGATTAGGTGTGAAGTGACCCCCAGAAATTCAAGTGTGAAAAATGCCAGGAAGTTTAGTGATACAAATGATTGGATTATGGGAGTTCTAACCTAATCAGTGTATTCATCGCCTGATAGGGATTAACTGGGTGGTAATTGTAGGCCAGTGGGGTGTGGCTGGGGGAAGTGGGTTACTGTGGGCACGCCTTTGAGGTTTATATTTTGTCCCTGGTGAGAAAGAGCTTTCTGTGCTTCCTGATTTTCATCCAATAAGCTGTTTTCCTCTGCCACACCCTTCCACAAGATGTTTGGCTTCACCTTGAACCCAGAGCAATGGATTTGTCTGTCTGTGGACTAAGACTTCTGAAGCTGTAAGTCAATTAAATTTGTCCTCTTCTAAAATTGTTCTTGTCAGCTTTTGGTCACAGTGGCAAAAAAGCTGATTAAAGCATCCAGAATCTGAAATACGAGACAAAACAAAAACCATTTCTTAACCCAGTTCATGTTGTCTTTAAACATTACTTTAAGAAAAGGATTAAATTTTGAAAATTTAAATGACTTTAAAAAGATTCTACATTTTTTAAATGTAATAACCTGCATTGCAATTTTTTGGGTAACTTGCTTGTCTTTTCTAGAGAACAGAAACAACTTGGCATATTTTCTAGAGAACAGAAACAACTTGGCATATTAGTCTTTGAAACTAGGAAAATGGAGTCATTAGAAGAGTAAAAGTAAACCCTGAAGTCAATGTAGCTTGACATTGCTAGTAATAATTGGGAATTTTGAAAGAAAGCAGTATGGTAGAATATGGTATAAAAATTTAAGTACTTTGCTATATGTAGAACATTTTCTAGATGTACTGGTATCCATACACAATCTAGGAATCCCTGAAGAAAGAAAATATACCAGACAACCAGGCAAAAATAGACAAATGGAATTACATCAAACTAAAAAGCTTTTGCACAGCAAAGGAAGCAATCAACAGGGTGAAAAGACAATGTACAGAATGAGAGAAAATATTTGCAAACTGAGCATCTGATGAGGAATTAATATCCAGAATATGTAAGGAAAACAACTCAATAGCAAAAACCCAAATAGTTCTATTAAAAAAATAGACAATAGCTAGACTGTGGAACCAACCCAGATGCCCTTCAATAGACGAATGGATTAAAAAATGTGGCATTTATACACAATGGAATATTACTCTGCATTAAAAAATGACAAAATCATAGAATTTGCAGGGAAATGGATGGCACTAGAGCAGATTATGCTAAGTGAAGCTAGCCAATCCCTAAAAAACAAATGCCAAATGTCTTCTTTGATATAAGGAGAGTAACTAAGAACAGAGTAGGGACGAAGAGCATGAGAAGAAGATTAACATTAAACAGAGATGAGAGGTGGGAGGGAAAGGGAGAGAGAAGGGAAATTGCATGGAAATGGAAGGAGACCCTCAGGGTTATACAAAAGAACATACAAGAGGAAATGAGGGGAAAGGGAAAAATAATACAAGGGGGAGAAATGAAGGTCAGTAGAGGGGGTAGAGAGAGAAGAGGGGTGGGGAGGGGAGGGGAGAGGGGATAGTAGAGGATAGGAAAGGTAGCAGAATACAACAGACACTAGTATGGCAATATGTAAATCAATGGATGTGTAATTGATGTGATTCTGCAATCTGTATATGGGCTAAAAATGGGAGTTCATAACCCACTTGAAGCAAAGTGTGAAAGATGATATATCAAGAACTATGTAATGTTTTGAACAACCAACAATAAAAAAAAGGAAAAAAAAATAGACAAACACCTTAAGAGACATTTCTCAAAAGAAGATATACAGATTTAAAAAAATGCTTAATCATCAGGAAATGCAAATTGAGACCAGAATGAGATGGCTATTCTAACTAGGGTGTGGTGCTATTATCAAAAGACAACCACTGTTGATGAGGGTGTAAAGAAAAGGGAACACATGCACACCAATAATGGGAATGTAAGTTAGTATGACCATTTTTGAAAATAATATGAAGGTTCCTCAAAAAATTAAAAAGAGTGGTACCACATGACCCAGTAATCCTGATAGTAGGTATATATAGAAAGGAAATGAAATCAGTATGTGGAAGAGATATCCACACTTCCATGTTCACAATAGTCAAGATGTGGAAACAACCCAAGTGTCCAAGAATGAATGAAAGGATAAATAAAATGTGATATTTTATATATATATATATAAAATACTATGCAGCTGTAAAAGGAATTTTCATTCTTCATACTGTTATTTCTGACAATATAGATGGACCAGGAGGACATTATGTTAAGAGAAATAAGCCAGGTGCAGAAAGGCACATTCTGTAAGATTGTATTCATTTGTAGAATCTAAAATAGTTAACAGCATATAAGTAAAGAGTAGAATAGTGGTTACTGGAGACTTGGAGCAGAGAGCAGGGATTGGGAGGGTAGAGACAGATTGCTCAGCAGACACAAAGTTACAGTTATATGGGAGAAGTAAGGTCTGATGATCTGTTGCACAGTAGGGTGATTACACATAACAATAATGTATTATGTATTTCAAAATACCTAGAAGAGAAGTTTTTCAATGGTCTTGCCATAAAGAAATGATATTAGGCAATGAATGTGCTAAAAACCCTGATTTGATTGTTGTGCAATGTATACATGTTTTAAAAATAACATTGTACCCCATAAATATATAAAATTATTGTGTCAATTAAGAAATGATGTATTATTTGCATGTACCATATGCATATCCTCCCATATACTTTAAATCATGTCTAGATTATTTATAATACATGATATGAGGTAAATACATATAAGTAGTTATGATAATCTATTTTTAGAGAATAAGGACCCAAAACCATCTATATATGTCCAGCACAGATACAATTTTTCTAAAATTTTAAATGTTTTCCATCCAGGGTTGGTTGAATCTGAGGATCTAAAACCTGTGAATATACAGGGCTGAGGGTATGTTTCTTTGGTTTGCCGGGTTTTTCTTCCTTTCCTGAACTGGTGTCAGCATCTCCATATTGTTAAGGATCTCTACTCTTTCCTTCCATTCCCTCCTGGTGCAATCACCCAGCAGTGATACCATTAGACCCCGGGTGGTCATGTAACCTGTGCCTGCCTATGCTACCACAGTGATTGGTCAAAGTACAGGCACAGGATCAACTTCTGTCATTTAGAGTCCTTCTCTGGTCTTGTTAGCAAAGACAGTAAGAGATAACTTTTCTTCATCTTTTTCTCCTGGATTAGGGCATCAAGAGTGCATACTTGGACGTTTCAGTAGCCATCTCATCACTTCTCTGGCTTTTTAGGGAAGCCCATTAGAATAGAAGAAACCAGTGCACAGACAGAAGCAGAGGCTGTAGAAACAGTGAGTGGGCTGACAGCATTGTTGGAGGTGGGTCCTGGAGTTTTCCTTAATCACCCAGTTCTGTTGTTTCCCAAACAGGTTTTAAGTGCCTGCTCTAAGCTGGGCACTCTAGGTCCTGGGAAATAATCAGGAAATGCACTCAAGTTCTCTGCTTTCAATGTTTAACTTTGAGGGATAGGGAGATAAATAGACAATAAGCAAATGCACAAGAATCTTTCAGCTAAAGAAAAGTGCTATAAGCATAGACCCTATCTGAATGAGAAAATAAGGTCCATGATGGTGATCCACCTTGGTGATAAGACAGAGAGATAAGATGTCTGGGAGCAGTCAACTATGAAATGATTTGGTGCAGATAAAGAGCAACAGATTCAGGGACCCTAATAAATGATTATAGGATGTTCAAAAAACATCAAGAAGAGCAAGGGACCTGGATTGTCCTTCCCCATTTAGGTGCTAGTTGTTTGGAATCAAAGAGACAGTGTTAATGGTACAGTCTGACCTTTGGGCTCTTCTTTTTCTATACAGTCAACCCTTAAACACCTGCCATTTTATTGCAACCACATGGCATTGCTGGACTTTTTCAGTATAGCTCAGTAGGTTACAATGCTTTTGACAGCCACCTGACTTTCCCTACCTTTTTTTTTAATATATGTATATATTTAGGTGTAGATGGACACAATACCTTTATTTTATTTATTTATATATGGTGCTGAGAATTGAACTCAGCACCTCACACATGCCAGGAAAGCACTCTACCACTGAGCTACAACCCAGCCTTCCCTACTTTTTACATGAAGCACTCACACTGTAATGGCACATGTAGGTAGGTGTGTTGATTTCTCCCATTTCAGTCACAGATCATTCCTAATTGCTGTAAGAACTGAAGTTGGGCCATAAGAGTATTACAGGTATGTAAAGCTGTTCAACACACTATTCAACCCATGCCAGGTGATGCTTCCAGGGCTGGAACTCAGAATGCTAGGAGGAGGTTCTGAAGAGAATCATGACTCTGATTCAAGAGATGAAGGATGGTACTCACGATGGGAAGCTCACATGTTTAAGGAGCATTTGGTTCTAAAGAGGTATTTTAATTGTGGTCTTTAAGGAGGTGAAGATTCACCTCCCAAAATCAAAAGTGGTTTGTCAAATTTTTAACCTATAATGAAACAGAATGTTATCAATTAGGATGGTTTAGGGTGCAAGCAATAGAATTCCTTACTCAAGGAGGCGTGAATATTAAGTGTGTTATCTCATCTAATAAGAGTACAGGCATATATTGGAGTAGGGCAGGTTTTGGAGCAGGTTGTTTAACTAGTCCACAGATATCTGGCTAAAAAATATAATTCATCCTAGAAATTATTTGTGTCCTGGTTGTTAGATAGCACCAGTGACAGTTATGTG